TTTTTTTTTTTTTTAATTTAAATACATCTATTCAATTCCTTTATTTTTATTTATCAGATAAATAGATTACGTCATTGGATGAATATCGGAATGCAAATTAATTATCGATCGGACGGCAGCAATAATATGGAAGAAATGATTATTTGTCAAAATAGAATAAAAGATGCATTATTGAAATTAATTGAGAAAGAAAGGAAAACTCGACCTGTTGAATCGATTAATAATTTCAATAACTGGAACTTGTATAATGAAAATTTATTACTTCGACCTAACAAAACATCCATGATCACAAACAGTATATACAGACTCCATAACGCATTAGAATTGGAAGAAGCAAATGAAACACATGAAATTATAGAAAATATAAAGAATTTACGAGCACTGGCAATTGAGTAAGTAAATTACTATATCTATTAAATTTTATCGATATATTTCAATTATTTCATATTGTTTTTGATATTATAGAAATCCAAAAATTCCTGAAAATACACAAATTTCTTGTAAGTTATGCAATATTGTAATGTATGACATAAATAATCTTCGCAGTCATTTATACACAGCAAAGCACAGACAAAACGAAAAAATGTTAGGAATTAAGATTTGAGTCATGAATCATTAATCGAATATATATATTATATAAATGACTAGTATTCTATACAGTAAAAAAATTGAAAAAATTGAAAAAATTGTTCTATCAATTTTATTTTATGCAAAACGTTTTTTGTTACATGTTTATATTGTTTATGTTTATATTTTGTCAATGATGTTATTTAGTTATAATAATGTATTGTATTTCATTTTCATACTATATTTAAGAAGCATAATTTCTAATACCCTTTTATAATTTTGTAAAATTGTCAATGATATTTAGTTGTAAAATTATATACACGTTTTTGTTATATTTTGTAAAAAAAATTATAATATAAATTTATAATATAATAAAATAAATTTATAATATAAAATAATAATATAAATTTATAATATAAAATAATAAAATATAAACAAAACTGTTACATTTACTATTCATGACATATCTACACATTTTGCATTTATACATTTTATACAGGATAGTCCATTTAAGTGAGGCCACCTAAATATATTTTCGAATTATGATGATATAAAAAATATTTTTTGCCTAATATGGTATCCAAAAAGCTAATAATTAGTAAGAACATACACTACTCAGGATTTCAAGCTAATAGAAGAGTTCATTATTGATGTGATAAATAGTAAATATCTTTATATTTATTATAACTCTCGATTATCGCGTCTTGGCTAGAGTTTGTGATCTTGATAGAGGTAAATTTAATATGTAAAATTTTCAAGGTCATGTTCCTTACATATCTGAACGTATTCTTTCACCAGCTACAATACAATAAAAAAAAAAAAAAATCACAGACCTTGGTCAAGACGCGACAATTGATAAAAAAAAAACATCAATGACTGAAAAAGTACTTGAAAAAAAATATCCTTACCAGTTGTTAGCCTTTTGAATACCATTCATATTAGACAAAAAATATTTTTTATACCATCACAATTCGAAAAGATATTTAGGTGGCCTCATTTAAATAGACCACCTTGTATATAGTATGGCGTTTAACAACATAAAAAATACGATTTTTTTTTACAATTTAGTGATGACTGTAAAGCATATAAATAATAAGATCAGATAATTTAAGCGTCCGCAAATTAGTATCCTAAACTTCTCTCTGAAGATAACGAGCACCAGGCTGAGTATATAACAATCGACCAGGAACATTAGCACCAGAGGCACTAACGTAAGTACCTGGTGGTGGCGGGGGATATGGTGCTGGTGGTGGTTGCGGTGGTCTTACAGGATATCCAGATGTAATTCCTCCAGTCTTAGCGCCCTGTTTTCAAATATTTTGCAAACATAAAACATTATTATCATGATATTTAAATATAAAAAAATACCTGTGGAGGTTGCTGAATTGGAATAGCCCCACCATGAACAGTAACATGACTACTTGGCCTTAAATAAAATTTATCTTCTGCATAGGCACCTTTATGGTCCAATGAATGCAAACTTGTAACATACGCTGATAAAAGTGTTTTAATGCTTTTATTAATTCACATAATTTTGATAATTAAAATGAAGTATCTGTATATGAATGTTAATATACCAGTTTGATGTGTCGATAATGTTGTTCTATTGCCTGAAAGGTACACAGATTTAGTTGGTTCAGGCTCTCGGGACGGTTGCGAAGTTTGCGCAGAATAACTATAAACACTTTGACCAGTAGGCGCTGAATAAAAATTTGAGGCAGAATATTGATTATTCTCTGCAAAAAAATTCATAACAACAAAATTAAGAATTAGAAATATAAACATTGTTGTTGATGGCTTTGTAAAGAAAAAAACATGGAAATTAAAGGTTTATTCACTCACTGTTCCAGAGAACAGCTCGGGAATCGCCAGATCTCCTAGCTGCTTCCTCAGATTCTATACAAGCACAAATATCTAGGTTTAATATTCTCTTTTCTCTTCTTTTTGTACTTCTTTTAGCATGAAATTATAACTACTGTAATTTTATATACTTACTGGAAGGTGGAGGATTATAACTTGGTATTGAAGGTGTTGGTTTATACCCATAACCAGCATGATAAGGAGAAGCTGTTGGGGGTGGTGAGGGACTATGTGTTCTTTTTAATGGCCCCTGAGGAAAGATGTATAAGTAAAATTATCTCTTTATAAGACAAGTTTCACATACTTACAGTTGGTAATAAAGTATGTGTTGGTGCACCAACAGCTACTTTGTAAAGGGGACTATTACTTCTTGGTAAAGGAAGAAATAATTGTGGATGAACTACTCTAGGACCTGTTCCAGGATATCCTCCTACTGCTGTTATAACTTCAGGACATACACTGTGTAATAAAAACATACGTAGTTAGAATATACGATTATATTTCACATATATGAAAAAACATGATATAAACCTTTCTTTAATTAATTGTCGTCTTCTATTATCATCCTCGTTTAAAACTTTCTTTAACTGCAGGAATAATTGATGTTTCTCATCTTTTAATTGTGAAAGTTCATTTTCTAAATTTGATATTTGTTCTCTAGTTTCACCTAAAGTCATCACATCCTGTTTCTGTTGTCGCTCTCGTTCTTTCCTTAAGCGTTCTTCTTCTGCATCTGCTTCTTGCTCTACATATTTAAAATAAAGAATTAGAACGAAATTGAAAACTTAACGACGAAGGTTACCTTGTTTCTTTCGTTGTCTTTCTCTTGTAATATGGGTTTTTAACGCTCGCCACATCTGTTCGCTACGTTGAGGAGGGCCCACAATTACCGCCGGCATGATTAATTCAATTTTTCGGCCTTAAAATAGTAGAAATTTGTTGTATGTGATAACAAAATCTGTCAAAAAGTACTCTTTGTATACATTATTATGGTCATTGTAGATAATTTTTGTCACAGACAGTATATAAGATAGACCTAAAATCATACAAGATTTCGTGTCAAACAAATGTACGAACTTACCGACTGAGTAAATCTTAAAGTACAGACGAGATTTCATATATCTCGTCGGTGTTTAAAGATTTGAAATTTTGTTGTAACATTGAAAATAATATGGAAATGATCTCAGAATTTTAGAGTTTGATACAAGAAAATCTTATATGTTGTATCTTATCTATGGTACCATATTATCAGATATAGAGAAAATATAATGGTGGAAAATACATTCCACTAGGGACTTAATAAGCAATACTAGAGAGGAGAATAGAACTATACTGATAGTATAGTGACATACTATCATTGCTCGTGGCAGCGTCGCTTAGTAGTTAGGTGTTTGTATGTGATTGTGTATTTTTTTTTCAACTTTCTTAATAAATTAATGAAAAACATTTATATTATAAAACGCATGTGTATTACAACTATTAGTATTTGTAGTAACTAAGAAAATTTGGTAAGTTGCATACCTTTATTGTCAAAAAACTTATCGTGTGATAAAAATTATTCTCTTGAAAAGAGTAAACATTATTTCTGTAGTCTTGTAAATATTAAAATTACAAAATATATGTGTTAGATATTGTAAATCTAATCTTTACTTTTTCAATTTTGAAAGTAAACTTAATTAAGGTTACTAATAATTTAAATAATATAAAAGACACATATTTGATATAGTACTTTTTTTTACAGCTCTTAATCGTATTAAGTATAAGATTCTTCATTGAAAGATATTTTGCTCTGACATACATTAGAAAATATGGCACACTATAAAGGAGCAGCCAGCGAAGCTGGCAGAGCAATGCAATTAATGAAAAAAAGAGAAATCGCTCAACAAGAGATAGAATTAAGGAAAAAGAAAATAGAAGATGATCTAAAGATTCACAACATTGAAAATAAATTTGCAACGCATTACAATGCAGTTGAACAACAGTTGAAAACTTCTACTATTGGTTTAGTTACTTTAAATGAAATGAAAGCAAAACAAGAGAATATAGTAAAAGAACGTGAGCGAAAATTAGCACAAAAGGAACGTGAAAAAGAACAAGAGAAAGAAAGAGCCCTTGCTGCGAAACAAGCTGAGAAAAATAAGCAAAAGAAACAGATACAAGCCTTATCATTTAATTTAGATGAAGATGAAGTGGAGCTTTCTGAAGAGGAAGTAGAATCAAAGAATACTGGACCAGTAATAAAAAAAATAAAGAAAAATCCAGACGTGGACACGAGTTTTTTGCCTGATAGAGAAAGAGAAGAAGAGGAGAATAGATTGAGAGAAGAACTGAGACAAGAATGGGCTAGAAAACAAAATGCATTAAAAGAAGAAGAGATTGAAATCACTTTCAGTTATTGGGATGGTTCTGGGCATAGAAGAAGTGTTATTATGAAAAAAGGTAAAGATTTAATTATAATTTTCTAAAATAATTATTAAATAAAAAAATAATTATTAAAAGAATAATTGTATAATTGTTATTTATTTGCACTGTTGGTAGGTAATTCAATTTATCAGCTTCTTCAAAGATGTCTAGAAGTATTAAGACGTGAATTCAGTGAGCTTAAAACAGTCATGGCTGATCAGTTAATGTATGTTAAAGAAGATCTTATTTTACCACATCATTATACATTTTATGATTTTATTGTAACAAAGGTAAATATAATATAAAAAGAAATATATTCATATATATGATATATGATGTTGAAATGAAAAATTTCTTATTGATTTTTTTGTTTTAGGCAAGAGGAAAAAGTGGACCTCTTTTTACATTCGATGTTCATGATGATATCCGTGTTATGCATGATGCTTCTGTGGAAACGGAAGAATCTCATGCTGGAAAAGTATTACTCAGGTACTACTTCTTTTAACTTTATTAACAATGTTTGTATATAAATTATTATTTTGATTATGTTATGTTGTGGTTTTAGGTCTTGGTACGAAAGGAATAAACATATATTTCCTGCTAGTCGATGGGAACCTTTTGATCCAACAAAAAGTTATGATAAATATACGATATCAGATAAAAATAGGAAAAAGGACAAAATTTAGCGAAAGATAAAGGAAATAATTGTACAAAATAATTATTAATGCATATTGTGTTCATACAAGTTAGACAATTTTGTTTTGTTAATATATTTAATATATATTAAATATTAATAGTTAATTACAGTATATTTTTTGAAATATTAGTGTAATAGTATATTTATATATGTATAATAGTATATTTCAAAAAATAATATATATATATATATTTCAATCATAGAGTCAATAAAAATTTATAATTTACAATTTTTTAATTATATAGTACAAATAGACACTGTTCAAACTGCGAGCTAAATATTATTTATCTTATATATTTCGAATAGTGCACAGAAATTTCAGAAACAAATATTTCATATATATTGTAAATAATATATTATTTAATACATTT